GAGCACAGGATGAGGTGCCGGAGATTATTTATTTGAGAGCTGGTTGAATTAGGTTACGCAGTGGCGGATCCTTCAATTCGAATAGAGGTGGCCCGGGGAGGGACGTTCACATTAAGGGTCTGAGGAAGGAAAATGTATGATTACGGCACTCTCAGACTTAAATTTGGTTATACAGGTAATTTTATTTTTCCCCATCTTTTGTTATGATATCGAAAAATTTAGGGGGAGGTCGACCCGCTTCGGCCCCTTGAATCTGCCACTGCTACGTTCAGTTCTTTAGAAGAAAATAGACTCTGATGACAGTACTTTTTGAATACATTTTGAACAGCATTTTAAGTGTTTTTTCCATGGAGACATTTATTATTATTATTATTATTATTATTATTATTATTATTATTATTATTATTATTATTATTATTATTATTTCTTCTGTTAAAATAAATTTTAGGCCTGTATGATATTATATGATATTATAATATGATACCATATATGGATGATACGATATGGTACAACGATAAAATACGATGTGATGTGATGTTACGAAACGTGATGTGATGTGATGTGATATGATATGAAATTTGATAGTATATATGATATGAAATATGATAGCATATATGATATTAAATATATGATATCTCAGTAAGATATAAGTATGACTATTTTGTCAGTGAGTGAGGTAGCAATATATTAAATGAACTCTTAATGGACCAGGCTGCATTCGATATATTTTCTTTGGAGAGCGAACCTATTTCGCTTCTCAAGACTACGTGTATACGTTTGCCTAAAGTACGGTATTGCAAACCTCTATCTGTATTTGGTTGCCTAGGTTCCGGGTGACATCTGACTAAAACGCAACATATCACAGACACCAACTTTCAACTAAGTTCTATGGCCGAAGCATAACCACAGCCACTTATATAATATTAAGCTGTACTACAGTATTTGCGTGCAACATACATTACTGTCATATTATCCCCATATTATCAAGTTCCTGCTTATCTAATTATTCATTTATTAATTGTATTGTAATATAATTATTCATATATACCAGCTATATTATGAACAATGTATGCAATTTGTATATAGTGCCTCAGAAACTGACATAAATGCTACAAACAATGGATAACAGTTATTATATTATATCGTATAGTGGTTGTTAAAATGTTAAATTATTAACGCTATCCTAACAAATACAGAGCCAAATTTCCGTACTGCTAAAATTATAGGACATATAAATAAATATTAAGTCAAAAGCTAGGCGTATCTATTTATTCTGGAAGGAATGATACGGGGAACAAGACAATGGAGATGACCAAAGTGACGACGGACTAACGGCATTAAGAAGAGGTGTTGATTGCGAGTGAAATAATAATATGAAAAGGCCATGAATAAAAAGAGGCTTTTGTAAAATGTCACCTAGTACACCATGAGTAAACGTTTAATAATGTGGTAGCCTATTAATAAAGTATAATATTGCAACACAGAAATGAAATACCATCCATGTAGCCAAGAAAAGAATATCTTTGAAAGATAATCTCTCATTAGTAAGAGACTATCTGGGTCTAGGCTTGGTCAGCCCTCAAATTACATTGTCCGTGATATGTAATTCTCTGGGCTTGTAACTTGGCTCGTTTAGACTCTTTATGCAGAATCGACGTACCTATTATTATTCAATCTTGTTTGGACGGAGATTATCTAGTTGCCTGAAGTTCTCTTCATCTTGTATGCTGCCGCCCACATGTTGAACTTCCTAGGCCTAGTGATTGGGCAGTATACCTGGTGGAAGACAATCCCCTGCTCTTTTCAGAAGAGTGTACTTACTGTGTTCTTTAACGTGCACATGGGATAATTTTAAATAAATGTGTGTATTTTTTTGCTCATCAAGTTTTCAGAACATTTCCGGAATAATTGCTCTACCAAGTCACCAATCAAATTGCTCTATTACTGCAATGCCATTCTACTTCAGTCTAACCATCATTCTAACGTATTTTATAAAAAAAAAAAGACCTACTGTAGTTCTTGAGTACCAATCTGGTTCCTCTACATTTAGAGCAATTAACATAATATCATCATTATTCCTAACTCGTTCAACGACCTACACTAATTCGACACTAAAGACAGTGTCAACAGCGTATTTCGTTTTGAATTGAGACAGCGTGCCCGTGGAATCAAAGAAGCCGTAAAAAATGCATCTATTTCGAAAGAATTTATGGAGATTTTAAAGCTTCAGTTGTTGATAACAACAACGACAACGTTGTCTACACTGCATTTACATCAAATATGAAACCTATTTAAAGTTTACCAATATGACAACAATGACGTCAGCACACTTTTGACGGACCATTAAATACCCATGAACTAACATTCCCGCGTTTTCTCAAGCCTGTCGCTATCACAATGGACGTATTAAGATATGTTGTTTGTTATGAGCTAAAAGCATAAATATAAAAATGGTTAATTACGTTATTTTTTTTAAATTAAAATAAGTTACTAGCTTGTGCAGCGGTTGAAGTTCGAGCGCTCAATCTTGAGATCGGTGGTTCGAACTTCTATTTCGCTTGTGTCCTTCGGCAAGATACTTTACTATATTGTCTCTCTCCACCCAGGAACAAATGGGTACCTGGTAGGTGTTGTGGCATTAAAAATGTACGTTTGTATAATTGTATCGTCTGGTTCAGCAGTTTAACAGAACATAAAAGTAAAATCAGCAAATCAATCAATCGTACAGGTTGTGTTATGGGCAGTAATGCTGTATCGAAAACCATTGACGAAAATAATGTAAATAGTGCCTTGGAAATGCTTGATAAAATTATAAAAGACGTAAACCACCCATTATAGTGTAATATAATCACTCAGAGGTCTGGTAGGCTTAGGCCAATGCCATACCACACTAAACGGTACAGAGAATCATTGCCACAAAATGCAATTAATTTATTTAATACTTTATTTAACAGATAACTATCTATTCGGTGCTAAGTAATCTTAGTGTAACTCATTTATATTCTCTTTTCATTAGGCCTATATATAATTTTTCATATTTTATACTTTTATTTTCTCTGTATATTTGTTTATGTCATCCACCTTGAAACTTGTAATTTTATTCAATTCAATTAACTTGACAATGCAATCACTTACTCATGCAATATTTTATTTCTATATTTTTCATATCTTTATGTCTTAATGTTAAATAATATTTTTATATTCTGTGTTTAAGTTTATGCCATTTTTAGTGTTTTAAGCAACTAGCAAAAAAAAAATTAAATTGTTCACTTTTATTTGTTCGATGGCAATAAAGTATTTTGGTTCTTGATTAATACCTTTATGTTATCACTAACTGCACAGACTCGTTTTGCCGTTTATAGCAAATTTTCCCTCTTGTTTGGAAATCAACGTTTTTCATGGCATAGCTGGAATTTTTAACATAGCCTATTTAAATTTAGTAAATAATTATAATAAAAGCTTAATATATGCATCTAGACTAGCATCAAAAACATAAGTCCTCAGTTAAAACCGTTTAAATGTATGTTGTAACTTATATATATCTATCGGCGAATAAAAATGTGTACACGACTGTGCCTATTAATATCATCTTTAAACTGAGAATGACAAGTCGAAGGCAGCGTGTTAATTAAAGTTGTTCTTGTCACCCTGACTTCGCCATTGGGCCCCGCATGTGGGTGAGGCGGGTCGCCAACTGGGACCCTATTCCACATTTTAATTTTGGAATTTGTCACCAACCTTGCTTTTTAAGAAACGGATGGATTCATTGATTGGTTGGCAGATTTTTAACAATAACAATTAATTAGGGGGACGAAAGGATGGGAAAGCACAATTTATAGTAAAAATGGTTTGAAATAATATTACAATTTTAGTTCATTAGGTTTTCGTAATTTTTCAGTTCTGAAATAATTAACACAACATATAACATGTATGTACAAATAGTCGTTTTGCGTGTTGTTTGTTACCGAGCTACTCAAATTGTGAGTAATAATTAAGATGTTGTCTATTTGACTTGTGAATTGATGATTTTTATTGGTCAAGTGCTACAAATCCGTACGGTAATTCATGTTATATAGCCATCAGCAACTATGATACAACAGCCTTAGGATTCTAAAATCCTATCACCCGTGTGTTGGAAAACAAGAAATTAGGCCTATTATTAATTAATTATACTACTACCATCATAGTAGTATACTAATAATTAATGATCAATTTACTTACCATCAATTACCAGATATTCTGATTCACAATATTCTGATAAAAGCAGGAAATGATCATTTTCATCCTTTCCTCTTCCTCGTTTTTCTCCTTCACCCTCTCCTTCTCCCTTTTTTATTTCCCCTTCCCCATCATCTTCTCCACATCCACTCACCACCATCCTCATCATAATCATCATCAGTCATCACGCTCATCACTATCATCTTCGTCTTGATTATCATTATTATTATCTTCATAACCATCGCCCTCTCTATAACCATTAGGGCACTCAATTAAAGTATGAATGAGTGCCGTAGTTTTCTCGAATGGTTGCTTTACTACATGTAACGTATTTTATCTCTAGTTCAGGCCTAGGCCTATATTTCTATCACTGCAACCACACATTTTTCTCATGTGTGTGATATTTCACATAGAAGGACAGAAAAAAACAACTATAGTTTGGCAATAGGTTGGTCTAGACACATTTTGATAATATGTTGATAAAAGGTATCAATCATTTAACAAGGTCACGGTATATGGAAATCATTATGTGGAGGAAAAATAAGTTTTAAAAGCCAAGTAAGCTACCGGTACCTAAAGCATGGATTACAGTCATTCAGGCATCTATTGTACTTCAACGTGGTCGAGGTACAGACACTATTATGTGAACTCTACGTCGTGGAAAAACCACAAAATTTCATTCTTTGTCGGCCTCAAAATGAAAAATCGCCCAGAGGACTTTTTTTACAGCACGTCAATGAGAGTTATTGACGCACTAATACGCACATATTTACTCAACTTACCTTGTTGTAAAGTTGTTTCAAGAAGCCAAAACATGATCCATAACTTGGTAATTAACAGCATCTTGTACCAAAACTTTGAGTGTAAGTGACCGCCTATAGGATATCTAACTATGTATGATGTAGATCGGAGTGCGATAGTGGTTGAATGACGGTAACGCGTTTCACTTGAGCAATCACTGCAAAATATTGTTTTGTGACGTTTCTATTCAACTTTAGCCACAGTACAAGTCACGTTCATGGAGAATAAATAAGAATAAAGGCGGAAGGCGGGACTAAAAAATGTAAATCCGGGTGTTTTGACAGTAGCCTAGCAAATATAAATGCATTCAACACATCCAATCCAAGCCACAATAACCAAAATTGTCGCGTATTTTATGAATAATGCAGCCCCGGCGTACGCAGGATTTTTAATGGATGGGTGCGAATTTCTGGAATGTGGACCGAAATGGGGGGGGGGTGGGGGCGCTAAGGACAGGGGGGGGGGATAAGGATATACAGTAGCCCTTCCGAGGTCGAGTAGGTGGAGCCCCCTCACGCATTCTTGGTATTTGAGGTCTTAATAGATTTTGAAGATGCAATATAAACTGAGTATTAAACGGGTTTTTTTTTTTTGTTTTTTTTTTTCGGTAGCAGTCCAAGAAAAGAGAGCGCTAGGGAGGGACCTTTAGAGATGGAGGGTCGACATCGTCTCAGTCCCAACACGGTTGGGGCTGAGGTAGGAAACTTTTTAATTATGGCACCCCCAGGCAGCAGGAAATGCGACTCTAAGACTTATAATTTGAATATAATTTTCTTTCTTTTTCATTTAGGGGGAGGGCCCTGGCCGGCTGCCCCCACCCCATGAATCCGCCACTGTTTTAGAGAGCAAACATTATTCAGTGTTTTTACTTTCCAATGTTTTGTAGTCTATCAACATTTCTGATAGGCTTAACGATGAATATAGCAATTTTGATATGTTCAGCAAACTGATCTATTCAAAATTAAATCTATCTTCTATCTATCTAAAAATTAAAAACATTGTGGAAATGTCCGTAAATATACTACGGGTTAACTTTCATTAATATGATTAAATTTAAAGAATCGTAAATAAATCGAGGTCCGAGTAAAATAAATCGCTAGAAATTGGACATACACAAAGCCAAGATGTGAAACGTGTCACTTTCAACGACGCGGTGTTTCGGATTTCTATGCATAATGTCAACATACTATGTAAAATTATGGCACAAGGTAAATACTGTACAACATTAATACATTTAAACGTAAAAGAAATAATGTAGGTCTATAGCGCACAATGAAAAATATCCTATAATATTATTGGGCATTGAAAATACTAATTTTTTACCATTTAACAATAATAAATATCAACACATATCATATAACTTTATTATTTATTTATTAAAATTTAAAAGAAAGTATAATACATATACTCCAAGTATTGAAATATACGCCATCGTGTTGGGATTCATATAAGCCTACTGAGTTGTGCAAAATAGATTCCCTGGTATTGAATTTAGTGGACGAAGTCTACCTGATTTGTTTACAGTAGGCCTATTCCTTATTCAGTGCATGGGATCATTTAAAATTTCAACTTCATTTAGTGTACACCACATTCGCAAACAGTGTTAGTGATGTCAACATCTTCATAATTGTCCAGTTGAAAGATATGACACTTAAAAATAGACTTCGATAAAATGATAAGATTTCAGTATTTCTATTATTTTTTTGGGGGGGTCAGGTGGGGTATTTTGGTTAATGTTTGTAGTACGGTACAACACTAATATATTTTAAGTTATTTGTATCTTTATATATATAGATATATATATATTTAATCCATTGTCTATCCAAATTTGGACTGTATCCTGTTGTATTATCAATAATGCATTTGTTCCTTGATACACAAAAGTGTAAACTCGTTTCTTTTAAATTAGCAATGTATTTCAATTTATTTTTAGGCCTATACAGTTTTCAAACAGATGAAAATGTGTTGCTATAAAAAATACAATAAATTTTCTTTTGGATACCAAAACTATAGTTATAGTGTGCTCAGGCTTACCAACAATAGGCCTAAATCTTAAAATAATTAAATATATCCAAATTTATATATAGATTATTAGATTAAACTGAAATGATGGGTGTGGTAATCTTCAATAAAAATAATACAAAAACTTAGACACAAGAGGGCGCTGTCATTTCATTTCAAGTCTTAACTCAATCTCGCCTGTTCAAAGATAGGTCTACACTGTCAAAAATGTGGAACATACTTCAAAATTTCAATTCAAATTCTGAATAGCTCATTTTACAAGGATCACGTGAGTTAATAATTTCCAACCAGAAACAATTTGAAAAAATAGCTGATTTACAGACGTTTTTCTACAAAAATCGATTGACCACCAGCCAATTTAAGGGTCTACGCAAACGGTATTACCAACCGTCTCGCATCGTGCGGGACGGTCCTGCATTTTAAAGTGATTTTGGATAAAACACGCATTTTGCGGAAACACATGCGTGATCATAAATTTGTCACACATTTAGCGCAAGTCTATGCGTGATAACAAATTATCACGAATTCAGGGGAGAATGTATTTAAAATTAGAAGAAGTTGGTTTTATTAAGAATATAAAAACATTCATGCCGCAGTAACTTGAGTCATAGAAGGATTTCATTATCTCGTTCAAGAATCAACTCACTGAGAACATTTCTTTTTCCCGGCCAAAACAACCCAGCCAACCACGCACTTAGTAGAATATAGGAGGTACATGCGGGCTTGCGTGCTCATTGTCACAACCAACCGATGTGACTGAAACCATGGTTGGGGCTGAGGTAAGAAAATTTATGATTATGGCACCTCAAAGTGGCCGGAAACGGCACTCTCAGACAAACTTTATTACGATTTTTCTTTTTTCCATTTCTTTTATAATTTTAGGGGGCTCTTCCCCTTGAATCCACCACTGTTAAATTATTTCATGTCCTTTACATCTGTAGGCCTACAATCACTGGAGCTGATAATTTCCAACAGATTTCGTAGCACATTATTAAAAATCAACGGGTAGAAGAGCGTGCAAAAAACTGTAATGCATACTATAGCATTTCGCGATAATTAGGAACGCTTTTAGTGAAATAATAGGTTTTAAAAAATGGACTTTGAAATTTGGTGGTCCAGAAGGCCTGGAGGGTATTTTGTGAGAAAAGCGACAAAGTAGCATTTTGAGGGTTTTAGATTTCTCAAACACATAATTCATGAATATTTTATTTAAATTTTCATTAATTTGGGTGTTTTTAGGACCTGAAAAGGTAACATTATTATATAGATCAATCTGCAATCACCATAGACGATTAATTTCTAACAAATTTCATATCATTATTAAAATCAACGGTTAGATAAGCTGGCAAATATATAATGAAATGCATGCTATAGCATTTTGTGATAATTAGGAACGATTTTGTGAAATCAAAGGTTTTAAAAAGTGGACTTTTTGGAATTTGGAGGGAGGGGTGCGTCCGCACTCTGCATCCCCCCACCCCCTTCCTGCTTACGGGCCTGGATTCTTTATTTCGATAATTCCGAATTATGGCAAGCGGTTAAACCACAGTTCCAAAATAATATGTACTCGAGTAGGTCTCAAATTATCTTTATAGACAGTGTAATTAATTCTAATCTATATAAACAGTCTCTCCTATATTCCCTGATCATAATATGATCTTAAACAAAATTCAAGTATATACAATTTAAATAAATTATGTAAATCCAATTTTGAGATAAGGGACTAGCATATTAATATCACATTAGTCGTTCTGTTGCATTATACAGAGAAATATATATAGATAAATGTGACGATCCCTATGGCGAAAATACGGTTCACATTCAGAAAAAGTTTTGCCTTTGGGTCTTGTTCCAGGGAGGTAACAGCCTTGAGGTGTTCCCTGTGTTGCTGTGCTTTTTCTCTTCCTATCATCGTATCATCGTATCCACAGAACCAATCATAGCCCTTTTTACAAGCACTTCGCCCATCAACAATTTCAACTGTAAAAAAATCATTGTGTGTTATTAATGTGTGTTTAAAAAATAAACTCGATTAAAATTGTTTAAAAGAAATATCGTACAACCTCCAATAGAAGCCCATGGGCTTAATCTCGAGAAGAAGCCCATCTCGAAAAGAAGCTTCCTTCTTTAGTTTGCAAAAGTAATACAAAAAAGAAGCCAACCTCGGAAAAAAGGCCCATGGGCTTTTAATCAAGTTAATAATGGGCGTCTTTCAAGATATTAAGGCTAATGTTATATCTGGTTATTATGATAGCGTGTCGATATAAGCATTATTTTTTTGTACTAGCATTGTTAAAATTTAAGAAACATTAAACAGAATTTTGAATATATTGTCGTATAGTAGCAATTCCAAAATTTACAGTATTCATTTTGAAAAGAAGTTTGCAAAAGTAATCTCGAAGCAACTTGAAGGTCCTAAAAAAAGAACAAACCCAAGGTTTCTATTCGAGGTTTTACTAATTGTATATGTTAATGTAAACATATTGATGTACGTGGTACAGTTACCCAGCTTTTACTTGCCCAGTTCCACTGTGTCTGAGCAAGTCTGAGTGATCTTTCACTTTGAAGGGCATTATGGAATAATGTTAATTAATAAGGTTCTTGGCAAAATTCGAGCAGCAGTAGATTTTAAACACCTGAAGCATGGTTTCCTTGAAATCGCTACATTGTCGCTACAGTGTTTTCAGTGAAATCGTTGTACACTGCATAGCAGTCCCCGACGGAATAGGGAAGCAGCGTGGCCACTCTGATGAAAGAAATTATGCCATTTGCTGGAGGAAAATTATGCTACAGAATGCTAGTCCTCAAACAGTGGTTTAGCCGTAGATTTAACAAACATTTTGGTACTTAAATACACGGCAATAGCGTTCAAAATAGCGTAATTAGCTAAAAATGGAGTTAACACGTTCGCTGCCACACCCCCTTACATAATTGCCTATTTAGGTGTTAAAAAATCTAAAGAGTTGGCACCTCTAGATCAAGGCCGAGGAATTGCGGTCCGGCCGGTCCGGTTATGGCCGGACCAATATTATCCCCAGTCAATTTCGTTTGTATTCAGAATTGTCTATTTTCAACATCGTTTTTTACAATTATAGTAGGCCCTATGCCTTATTAAATGTAATAGATTATCCTAGTTTTTTTAATTTTCCAGTCTCCAATACATGCATCCACATATTTATATTGTTAGATTTTCATCAATTATATATTCCTCAGATCTTACTTTGTTAAGTGTTCTACATAACGACATGAAATGTATTACCTTCATCATTTTCTAAAATCTGATTATATTTGTACTTCAAGCATGCCTCCGTCTACATCATGTCAAGACAAACATACACACCCACAGGCCTGAAGGAAGCAGTTTGTTATTTAACCTGGGGCCCGATGATTTTAAGGCCAGTATCTCTTTTTTTTGTATTTATGTTTGCGAGCTTGTTTAGCAATTATATTCAGATCTTATCTATTAAGTGTTCTACATGACAACATGAAATGCATATTTTTTCATATATTTCTTTCATATTTTAGTGTCACATTCTCAGCAAGCGCATTTCAACCCGGCATATATAGACATATAATTCTTGTTGATCGGATAATGAATTGTGAAATTGAAAATACAATTCACAAAAAATACAACAAAATGTCAACATTAATATATATTTTCTATAAAATAATAATAAGACAACATTTAGCATACATTTTACATAAAATATGGAATTTAAATACACTATGATAATTTATCTAAAACGGTATAAAATAATATGTGGGAGTCTCACCTTACCAACCAGTGTTGGCAAAAGTGGTGAGGAGGAGATATTAAATTAAGTTGGAGGAGATCTTACTCTAAAACTTGTTATATTTTCATTTTCTGTTTAGTGTTCAAGTTCTGTACAAAAAAAATAAGGTTCAAGAAAAGATCAGCCCAATCAACATTGCTTAGATGTTTTCTGTTTAACTGACTTAACCCTTGTTTTATTGTCCGTGGTATGAGCAAAGAGTGCGTCTCATATTGTTGTACCACTCTAGTTTGACTCTGGCGTAATTACAAGTGATTTTTCCCAGGGATGGTGTCCGATTCTCAGCATCTGGATCGAAATATCTAGAGTGACCGATGATATGCCCGTTGAGACTCTCGGGCGCTAAGATCCCTCTGGTCTGACCAATAACAAACTGCTTATTACGTTTCTGCCTGTAAATATGACAATCTCAGATTTTTATTTTTTTTCTAATTTATTTCTTTAAATTTAATTATGTTACGTTTTCATGAAATTATGCGTATCATTGCTACATGGTAGGCCTACGAGGGTCCAAATTATGCCAAAACATTATGCTACGAATGGCCACTATGTTGGCTGGAGTAAAATTATGCTACGATATGATACACACGAGTGCCGTGGATTTAACATATATTTTGGTACTTATATACACGGTAGTTGTGTATGCAGGTACTTTAGGCGTTCAAAATAGCGTATTTTGGCTAAAAAAATTATTTCACATGTTCGCTGCCTAACTGCCATTTTTTAGGTAAGGGGAGAAAATTTAAAAGAATATGCACCTCTAGATGCTCGGAAATGGCACTCTTAGACCTTTTTTTTGCAATTTATTTTTCTATATGTAACGAAATTTGCAACAATTTAAAATTATGTACATTATGCTACATTTTCATTAAATTATGCGTAGCATTAATACTACATACTACGGGGGACAAAATTATGTCAAAAGCAAGGTAATTATGCTACAAATGGCCACTATGTCAGGAAGGCTCCCCGATTCGACCGACCAATCAGCATCACCGACAGCTGTCGGCGAGCGCATGTAGCGATTGTATGGAAATCAAGCTTAAAGCATGGTAAGTACGTATTGTACGGAAGGTTATCTGGTAGAATAGTAAAGTAGTTTGCATAAATTTTAAACAAATTCTTCCACTGTAACTGGAGTATTCGTATTCCACTCCTCAAGCTTATTTTTTTATCTCCCCCTTGTTGAACCCATAAATGTAAGAACACCCACAAATGTAATAACAACCATAAATATAACAACACAGAGCCCACAAATGTAACAACCAGTCCCCACAAATGTAACAGCGCCCATAAATGTAATAACGATCATCGCCCACAAATGTGATAACACCCACAAATGTAACAAAACATTATCTCTTCGCCCACAAAAGTAATAGTTTTTCTTGTTTTAACTTTGAATATAGAAGCTAAGACCCAAAATGGCTAAACCGTGCACTTTGTGACAGGAGCATCACATTTTGAGCATTTAATCTATGAGGCGTGCGAACAAAAATAGTGGGAGAGACATTTGCTAAACGTCTGGGAGGGGTTTTTTAAAGGTCCAAGGTTCTAGGAGTGTTATAATATGTGTCAAAGGTTATATCATTTTCAAAAAATATATCTCAATGGAAGAAATTGAAACATACATACTGAATATTTTGAAAAAAAAATAATAAAATAAAAATAAACTTTCTACAACCAACGGTTGTCAAGATTCAGATTCCCAATCTCGGTATTCAACGCCCGCCAAAAGAAATTGATCCGGTACGCGCAACATTGCTAAAAAATAAATCATTTTCGGGCCAATTTTCAGTACTTACAGAAAAGGTTTTTCTGTTAATAGAAACACGACCACCTACTCTGGCATTGTTAAGAAGAGCATTAGCTTGTCCAGAGGAGGTGCTGAAATGCCACCATTCTTGGCGCTGAGGTTCAAACATATTCAGTATTTTGAACGATGCCCGGAAATGTAACTTAAATTACTTTTCGAATCGTCGAATTATATTGTGATTTCTCATTAGAAATATTTAATAAATATAAAGCTGGTATTGGTCACTTGGATAAAAGATTAAGCTAAATAATAATATGTGGCGGACCCAGAAATGTGATGTAGAAGGGGCCATGGAGGGACATTCACAGATTATCCATTATGATAGCTTTGCCCCATGGAACCATAAGATTTCTTGGATTCGTAGTTTAGTTTAAAGAGCCCACAAATTGTGTACTCCCGATAAACTTCAAGCAGAACTTTGAAACAAGAAAATGTATGTCATGAAATGGGTTCCCTTTAAACGTTGTTAACCATGTACTCAATAAATTAAATGAACTTAAATACATAGGCTTACTGATGATAGTTTGATTAAGATCTGGATTAGATTGCCTTATCTAGGAAAGGCGGTTGAATCCATTTTACGTAGATGCTTAAACAAAGTAAATAAACACTTAGTTAAAGAGGTAAAATTCATAACATTATGGCAGTACAAAAATGTCTTTCATTTTATATCTACTAAAGATCAAACCCCTAAGGAATATAGGAGCTCTGTTGTTTATCATTTTAAATGTCCAGGTTTTAATAGTGATATTGGTAAGACAGATAGATGCTTAATAACTAGACTTCAAGAACATTCTTCACGATCTGATAGTGTTATAAATGATCATATACAAAATTGTGAGGCATTCCAATATGTTTTAGGTTTACAAGGTATACTTGAAAATGATAATGTAGCCTGCAGTGTAAGTAATAAATTAGGTTTATTATTTTCTAATACTAACATTATTGACAGTTCGCAAAATTGGTCTATACTATTGTTTAAAGAAGCAATTAGAGTGATGATTTTATTGTTCATTTGTTTGCTTTATCAGGGGATGAGTTCATTTGTTGCTGGATAGGAAATAAATAATAAAGGTAAAGACACTAAAAGATTTGTTGTTTTTTATCAAATGTACTAATTATCTGATTATATACAGAACATTTTATTGTTCCAATTTTGATTAAAAGCTAATGTACTAAATCTAGAATATAAGAATCAAGCAAATAAAGTGGTGATTTTATTGTCCATTTGTTGGCTTTATCAGGGGATGAGTACACATTCAGTTTTATAGGAAATACAATAATTATAAAAGGTAAACCCACTAAAAGGCTTGTTGAGTTAATCAAATGCAGTAATTATCTAATTATATACAGAAACAATGTATGATTACGATTTAACTTATTATAAAAGGAATACGATACAAAGAAGCCTGCAAGCGATTTTTCAACTGGTGGCTGGTCTTAATATTCGATTTTTGAAGCATGCATTACGTATTTAGAACATTTGAAGAGCCAATATGTTCGCATCGTTAATTCCAGGTAAAGTTAATATTCCAAATAAATCTCTTAGTATAAAAAATAAATAAATACATAAACTAAAAAACTGGACTGCATATCACTAAAAACTTAAATTTGAATATAATTTTTAATTTTTCTCCGTTTGTTTTTTATAATTTTCGATTGTTATTTCACCTCGGCGCTTTTGTGCGTAGCGGTTAGAAAATAATTGACTGTAATGACGCATCCTCCTGTCCGTGTTCCTAGTTCATAGGACATTCTGAACAGTGAAACTGTAGTATTCTTGCAAATCAGTAATTCCTTTCATTTTGTTTTTCATGCCTCTGAAGGGGGTGCTCATACTTAAGCACCCCGAGCACCCACTGGATACGCCACTAAAGAATGTAACTCATTGTACCTAGTGGCGTAGAGTATTAACATGGAGAGGGGACTGATGGGATAAAGGATTAAGTGGGGAGCTGATATGATGTGATGTCTAAGCATTGGAGGCGCCAGCGGAAGATCAGGGGAGCATGTTTGGGGGAATGTCATTCTGTTGAAAACACTTGTTTGAAAAAGTGTTTTTTCAGTCTCAAAGTGGCATTTATACTGGAAATCTAGAGGTGTATACTAAACCAAGACTAATTGAAAGTACGCAATTTAATCGGCCAGCCGCTGGTCCAAAATAGATAGGAACTGGCCACCAGCTCAAAGAGGTACCCGGGCCCTATATACTATAGTATTTTCCCACCACCTAAATGTGTACAATTAAGCTAATTTGCGTATTACAGGGCCTGTAATTGAGGCATAATTTCTGGAATTCACTTTCGTCAAGTTCTCAAAACGTGTTTGAACACATTTGGTCATTTCGTCCATAACTATGGTTATTGGAAAAAATTATGGCTATTTCAAATTTTCGAGCTTATTTAAATGCATGCTATGAACGAGGGCGATTTAAAAAGAAAATGGCTCAACATTTTTTCCAGTTATTGATTTTTTTTAAACTGAAATAACTTGAAAACTGTCACATCTGGTAAGCTTCTCCATCGCATTTAAATAGAAACCAATTGTTGCAGCATGCATAATGAGCATAATTATTTATTATCAAAATCATTATTTGACCTCAAATTACTTCTAACCCCTCCCAGACGTTTTGAAAAGGACTCTCCCACTGTTCGCACGCTTCAGATTAAACGCTGAAAGTGCCATAGGCCTACCTCTGTCACAAAATGCACGATTTGGCCAGATTTGTTGGATCTTAGCTCATACATTCGAAATTAAAAGAAATTTATTACATTTGTGGGCAAATAGGTCATGTTTTGTTGTTACATTTGTTGGTGTTATCACATTTGTGGGGTATGACCGTTATTACATTTACGGGCGTTGTTTGTTACATTTGTGGGCGCTGGCTGTTATGTTTGTGGGCATTAATTGCATTATGTGACGCTGTGTTGTTACATTTGTGGTTGTTATTACATTTGTGAACGTTTTTACAGAGGTAATCTTCTACATATTACCTCTGTTCAAGAAAACTTTTTACTTGTCCTAAGTATTGGCTTGGCCTTCAAAACCAAATTACGCAGTCGTCAAACCTTGCAACATTTACACCTACGTGAGGATTATTTGCTGGAAAAATATCGTCCTCTATCGTAATGTTTGAAGTGTTGTGCAGAAAGAACGAAATGATTAATTAATTTAAAATATTTAATTAAATGAGTTGTATTTAAGATAACACGGTACCCAATGCAATTTGTGCTTACTGGGACATCCGAATTTGTATAGTTAGAAATTGTACAATGTCGATGACCATATGCACTATAGGCCTAATGTATTGATGAAATAAATTGATTGATTGATTGATTGATTGATTGATTGATTGATTGATTTATTGATTGATTGATTGATTGATTGATTGATTGATTTATTTATTTATTTATTGATTTATTGATTTATTGATTTGTTGATTTATTGATTTATTGATTTATTGATTTATTGATTTATTGATTTATTGATTGATTGATTGATTGATTGATTGATTGATTGGAAAAGGTTAAATATTGTACGGGATTGCATATGAACCAAGTTACAATGGAACAGAAATGCTTTTATTGAAGCTCCCTAATTAGGCGCTATATATAATTATATATTAAATTGAAATAATATATATCTATCAAACTTAATTACAATAGACTTTGACATATTTCTATACCTTGAACATCAATGGTTTTTAAATCGTTCAACTCAACTTCAGTTTTATCATCTTCAAAATCATCAGAACGTTTGTCCTTACTAAATCGAGACCAATAAGTGGTTCGAATAACCTGCAAAAGCAAGAGAGATGTACTCTAGTATATTCATCAAGTAACTAAATTTGAACGATTTCAAATTTAAATAAATGAAATAAAAAGAATATACAACTGTATGCACAGCCAAGAAAAGTGTTTATAATTTTGTTTACCTTTCCTGGGTTGGGAGGATTTGTCAACAAACTGACAATGACGTTGACTAAAACAGTTTGCCAGAATAAAATCACAGCAAAGTACATGTAATGTACCTTGGCTGTAATCGATGGCCGGGTATCTTCTTCCCAGCATGGTGGAGAACGCCAAACAAAGTCCAAGATCATTCGGATTCCGCCTGTCACTAAAGCTGCCATTAAACTCCAGAAGGCACCCTGTTAAAATATACTTAAATCTAAAGTTATGGTGGCTCTATGTATTAATGAGAAAATTCGGTGGGAACAGGGGGAAGCAGTACATTAGTGAAGCTCCAGGAGGAATTTGGGGACAAGTAGAAATCTCATTTACACTGCAGCTTTTGTTTGTTAAGATGCAAATTTAATATGGAAACATACTACGGTTCCATAGGCCTAGGACTACATTAAACACCCGAATTTTACTGGAAAAAACACCATAATTTCGTGGATGGGTTAAAAACCTTTTATAATGGAATTATGGCATTGCTCAAGAGATCCCATCTGTAATAAATAGTTTTGGTATTGTATCTGGAATGTGGGCAAACCAAAAACAGAGGTAATGTGGATTGGTAAATGGAAAAAACCGAACAGTTAATCCATTTGGGATTAAATGGAGTGATACGGTGAAAGCTCCAGACATTAATTATATAAATAAATATATACGATAAATATATGCAAATAATTGGGACAACAAGCTTCGTCATTTGACTCAGGTGCTCTCAAGCTGGGCGAAAAGGCATCCTACGATGCTCAGTAGGATTTTAATTGTTAGATCTATATTACCTAAACTTATCTAAATTGCAACTGTAATTGGTACCGAATGAGATTGTCAAGAAGGTAAACCAGGTAAGTTATTATTTTATTTGGAATGGAAAAAATGAAAATATAAAAAGATTGACACTAATTGGCGATGATGGGGAAAATAAAGGTACCTAACTGTGTATTACAATGTGATTGTGAAGCAATTCAAATATCATGGTTGAAACGTTTGTTGTATGCGGAAGGCAATTTTTATAGGCAATACCGAAACAATGGGGGAAAATGTGTTCAGCAGACACGAGGATTTGCCTACATAAACTAATCAATTTACAATATTTCCTATGATGATGAAAACGACATCCAAACTTTGTGTTCACGCAAACTGTGTTTCAAATAAAATGACAATTATTATTTAATGAAAGTGAGATTAACTGGAAAATGTATGGTATGGTATGGTATGGAAAAAGAAAAGTAAAGCAAATTAAGGAGAATAAACATGCTCAATTTAACTTTAAACTTTTTCATCGCATTTTTGCTACTGAAAAGAGATTATGTTGGAAAGTAAGAGCAAACCCACACTGTAGGACCCGGGGATTGACGTATCGTATTTCAATGAAGATGTACCTTCCTTGTAATAATTAATGATAATAATTCATGATTAACTAGTATTAAAATGTAGCAAATCGGAAATTTTAACATCGATAGATTTAATCAAATTATTCAATCTAACTTTACCTTAACTTGTACTACTCTAACACTCTTATTTTCTCGCCTCCTTCCTTGAAGGTGTCGTTTTCGCTTACGCTACCTCTAAACGCTCCGGGATTTTACTACCAAAATAATGTGGTTTTCCTCGCAAAGCCGATGCTCGTGTGATCGTGAGTTTCCTACCAGGTCCTACGCGGTCTGAGGCAGTACGGCAAGCCCGCTCATGACTGACACTGCGCGTCTTAAACTGCGGTGTTGGACCTTTCCTGTCAGTCGACCCCATTCCTACCCCTCCTGTTATACTCCTACACTTTTTGAGTCCTTAGGAGATCGGGTTTACCCACCAGAACAAGAACTATGTTCAGATGTAGTTGATAATGAGCAACACGCTACGTAAATGCATCAGGTTAAGAAACTGCTGGGTGTTTTTAATACAAGCATGAGATTTTACTTTCAAACCCTTGTATTGGGTAAAAGAAGTGGAAGAGTTTTATAGCCTTGAAGCATTTTTTTCAGAAACTTTAGTTAAGTCTGAAAATATTGTAGCAGAAAGGAATAAGCCAGTATATCCAATTTTCATAACAGAATTAGTGTATAGAAATTCAATGACAGAATGTATCTAAAACATTATGTGGATAATGATTGATATGTTTATGAATAATGCCATGTGAGTTAATAATATGGTTGATTTATAATAAACGGCCTATGGCCTTGAAAGAGAAAAAATGCATCTTCAATATCCATCACCAAGAGTTCATTTAATTTATCTTGCCAAATTCATGGACACGAGAACGGGCACGAGAAGTACAAAGCTAAGAGGCCTACATAGAAATAAACTGCAGAAAAGGAGCGACCATTAACAACCCGTCGCAGTTACCAAAAAGCGAATCCAATCACTGTCGAGTGGTTGCCCAAGGTTGTGAACAATACACGTAAATTAAGAATATAATGGTGAACATAAAATGACTTAAGTCTTTTTACAAAATAATTGAAATCTCAATGAATCCTATTGTTCAGTTCTATTGGAAGTTTGAGACAAAAAAAATACAAATACGCGAATAAAATGAGTAACGAGACGAGAGTTAATTATTATAAAATTAATGCATTCAATAAATTACACAGAGGACCGGCACAAAGTTAATGGATATTTCATACATGTCAAAGTCGAGTCAAATGGCCAAGCTGTTAAGGCAGAGGCGCCGCAACCTTCAGCTATAATGCACTACGGTATATAGTGCACTTATGAACCTAGTACATCTTTCGAATATGAATAGGAGGTTACCCTGGAACACTGGTCTTGCGGTTATGGATCCTGAGGTCCTTCGTAGAATAGATCTGCGTAAGCATGTCAGCTTTCAAGTAAACCTTTTATTATATGTGACATAATAAATTTAAAAAAACCAATATCACTGACCTTTTCATTTCCTCTTGGCCAAAGGAGAGCCACAAGGTAAACAGCAGCGATTGGAGGAGACAGGTAAGCGGAAATCTCTTGGATGTAAATGAACAATTGTCCTCCCTGCATCTCCATAATAATCGGAATCCAGATAATACCGACAGCAACCATTATCAGTATCATTATTCTAAAGAATTCGATGACATCCAAAATAAAATCACTCACTCATTAAAACATTTCATGGGTAAAACATTACCTTATGGAAGTGTTTCTGATGAGATACCGCGTTTCTAACGTGCTCCCTGGTAATACTGAACACCAGACCAACAATTTAAAAATCGTGTTCAAAATACGATGCACTGTTAAATTCATTTTAGTTATCTAGCTGGACCACAAGGCAGCAACGATAGAGGGATTAAATGTCAGAAAGTATCTACTCATACTGTGGCTACGACTAGTTTAGCTTAGTGAGCTAAGCTTTTGTATTATGGTAAACGAAAATTACTAATAACTAAAAATAATTACTATTTGCATCAGGAAATGTGTACTATACCTTCCAACGATCATCAGCTCCTTAACGGAGGGCTCAAGATTAAAGAATCTTATGCGGAAGATCTTCCAGATATCAATGGTGAAGAGTGTACTGGTACTATTAAATATTGATGTTAAGTCACTCATTAAAGCAGCAAGCATCACTGCAAGCATCAAACCGCGTAAACCTTCAATACATATTATACACAGATTAGTTAATAATAAAAATAATAATAATAATAATAATAATAATAATAATAATAATAATAATATTATTATTTATATAGCATATTTTCATAATAATAATAATAATAGTAATAATATTTATTCATAAAGCATATTTTCAGATTTCTGTTCAATGCGCTTCACATAAAAGGTTGATAAAACATAATATAAAATATGCAACATTATACGATGAAATTACAAAAATATTATATAGAAAAACTACAAAAATATACTTTAATTACATTTTTAAAATAATTAAAATTTGAAAATGCAGTCAAAAAATAAATATTATTAATTACCGAAATTCCAAATTATTACAATACAATACTGATCAATTGAAAATTTAAATTCAATATCTACAACAGGGACAATCAATTAAATGGAAAGATATATGAAAATATAATTATTACAATATTAACATCATTGAAATTAATTTAAAAATTGTGATAACCTAATAAATTATTATTATTTACAATTAGGCCTTATTACTTATTTAAATTTAAATATTTAAAACACAAGTATAGTAAAATATGATAGTATGGTTGGTGACTATAACCCACTAAGTACGAAGATTTGTTTTCAGTTGGAATCTTTTGACGGTAATTCGTCAGTACATTATATTTATATATTATATATATATTATAAGAATGCATCATTTGTCATAAAATTCCAGAAGATTTTATTTCTTCTGGAATTTGCAAAGTATTTCAGAACAACCTAACTGAGGTATACCTGTTGGCATGAGGCCTAGCACGATGCGTGGATATGCAATGTTGCTGCAACCGGTACTGCTACCACAGACCTCCATGCAAGTTTCTGCAGAGGCACAAGCAACGTCATCTTTAAAAAAATACAACAAATTGTGACTTACACCATGTTCATATAGTGTAATCCGACTTAAATGATGGACAAGGTGTCTTGGACAGCCATCTTTAAAATAATTCTTATAAGTTAATCATATATAATAAAAGGTTTTACTGTACAACACAAATATGTCACGAGAAAACTTAAGAATGGTTGAAATTTAAAAAAAAAGTTTACACACTGACCTGTGTACAACACTCGACTTATCATTCCTGGTATAACCATAATGACAATTGGAAGAAACTTAATGTAGCCTGCTAATATACAGCCACCTTGTGCATGTGATAGACTCTTTGCAGCAAGTGCCCTCTGAACCATCAACTGTTGGAAGAAATCATTGTGTTTAAATTATTAAAACTCTGCTTTTTCAAAGCTTTTTAAAAACGCCACCGAACTGGACGTAGAAGCTAATACACTATGATTGGACTAAAGATGAACACAAAGCTGTTGGACTAAAAGAGGACAAACAGGATTCCAACATAACTGGAAACACTGCTGGACACAGTACCGCTGGTCACAGTACTGTTAAACGCAGTACTACTGTTAAACGCAGTACTACTGGACACAGTAGGCCTACTGCTGGTCACCGTACTGCTGGACACAGTAATGCTGGCCAGAGTAGGCCTACTGCTAGACACAGTACTGCTGAACACCTACTACTGGTCAGAATACTGCTGGACACAGTACTGCTAGACACAGTACTGCTGAACACCTACTACTGGTCAGAATACTGCTGGACACAGTACTGCTAGACACAGTACTGCTGAACACCTACTACTGGTCAGAATACTGCTAGACACAGTACTGCTGGTCACTGTACTACTGGACACAGTACAGCTGGGCACCGTTACTGCTGGACACACTGCTGGACACATTAGTATAGTACTGCTAGACACAGTACTGCTGGACACAATATTGCTGGGCACACACTCATGGATACAGCACTGCTGGACACAGTACTGTTGGTCACAACAGTACTGCTTAAAAGTACTGCTTGACACAGTCGGCGTGACACAACACTGGACACACCATCCCTAGGCCAAAAATGAATCTGGTTATGATGACATTACTTCTAAGGTGGTAGGTGTAAGCGTTGCGGTTTAGCCTCTTAACTTCGAGGTCGGAGGTTCAAATCACACATGGACCATTTAGTTTGAAATATCTTTTGATAAAACATTTCAGGTTTTTATATTCACGCATAAATATGTTAAATAACACTAAGATTATTGTGTTCTTGCAACCAAATGAGGTAAAACGTAAATAAAACAGTAATACAAGTATGCTCAACATTAATACCTGATCAGCGCACCAATACCAAATAGAGGCTGGTGTTTGACCAAGCATAAATCCAGGCCACGGTATGTCACCGTTCACAGGATCACGCAACATCTGCAAAGAATCTTCACGTGGATATCCACAAGTGTAATTTGGTTTACTTAATGTTTCATTTGGAATGGCTTGCATGTATTTGTATTTCAGTTGATCATAGCCCCCAATTTCTACAAAACCTACAAAAGTAAAAATGACATAAATATTTATTCCTATATTTATTTTATTGATATGGAAAATATACACATTATATTGTAAAAATTGACAATTTATGGCAAAGTAGCCAATATCAAAACTTAAATTTGTATAAGTAAAATATTGAGCTTTCATATTACATAAATATATATTAAAACCATTAATTAGATTGAATCAGACGCATTGGGAAACTTAATGATGTAAAAAACTCACTTAACACCATTAAAATCAAACCTCCAATAATCATGATGAAGAATTGTAGAGTGTCTGTATAAATTACTGCAGTTAAACCACCTGCAAAAACAAATATATTAGTCATATATTTATTTAAAGGAAATAAATGAACGTATTATGAAGCGATAATTAAAAGTATGTTATCTAATTTATTATTTTAATGTGATTCAATTGACTTTAACCTTTTCAATCTACTAATTAAACGAGAAAATAAAGTCTTGAGGGAGTACACGCTCCAATTCGAGAGACCCTTCTAATTTGAGACCTCTTTTTGAAAGAACCAAAATAACAATCTTTAGTATACAACACAGATATAACCATTTAATTAGAGACCGAGCCCAGAGACCACCCGAAATTTTCAGGTCCCAAATGTGGTCTCGGATTGGAGGGCCAACTGTATGAATAGGCCTATTTACTTCTCGGCACAGCCAACAAACCGGTCGGCCACCACGGTATTAAAGTAGGTGTATCTACCTCCTCAACATAATAAAAGTATATTGTTATAACTGAAGTAAACCATAACAAACCTGTGACAGTGCATACTGCAGTAAGGGCCAAGAGTAGAATTATGGAAACATACAGATTCCAACCAAGGGCTTCTTTGATGAATAGGGCACCAGAGTACATATCCACCTATTAAATAATTTGTTTAAGGCAGAACAAATTATATGAATAGATGGTGTTTGAAATCACTGAACTTTATTGCACTTGATTTCTGATATATTTATCCATATTTTAAACATGTTGTAGTATATTATTTTTAAAGACCACATTTCTGCAGCCACGGTTGAATACCTATCTTTTATCACTATCTGTTCGCTCCAATTAAAGATGCCCTCTATTTAAGAGACCGAAGACTATGGTTTTGGCGGACCAAACTGAAAATTTTCCATTTAATCAATGACCACACCATAAAATAAATAGTGATGTTAATACAATGTGTTATGTATGACGTACCGTACACATAGAAATATTAGCCAGTGCACTGTTTTGTGTATAGTGTTTTGTGTATAATTGAATAACGATAATGTTAGTGGCAATGTTAGTAACATTTGAATGAAAAGAGAAGTTGATGCCTGGCTACCATGAAATATTTTGTTTAAGAATGAATAGCAGCATGCAGTAACCTTACACCCATCTTAAACATTTAATGTATTATTTTTTTTAAATTTCCCTTTAAATTGATAATCGTTTAGTTTCATGAGTCCGCGAGCAAGCAAAAATCTCCCGAAATAAACCACCTCCCGCAAATTAATGATGATATTTGCATGTTTTTACGAGTCTTTAGTAATGTATTATCAATTATCATCCAACACATACTGCCAATCATAAGACTCATTTAAACAGATGGATTCTTCCAACTTATGGGACCCTGTTGAGTGCCGGTCTTTTATAGCAATAGAGATTTTATTAAAACCTGGTTTTAAAATTGTTAGGGTTATATGTTAAACCAATTAAAATTTACCAACTTGTTACTTAGTTTTCTAATTGTATTTGTAAATTTGTGCTGTGTTTTGATTATTTGGATGAACCGCATATTCGATGCATCCACATAAACAAAATACAATACACTTCATTTCCATATGTTTAGGCCTACTTTTTTTTATTTCTGATGGTTCTATTTGTGTTAACTTGGATGCACCGAGTACGGTACTTGTGTGCCACCACATGTTTAAAAGTGATTCCAATAAATTGAATTGAATCTGATACACCAAAGACCTTGGTTTGGCAGACCATGGAGGAAAGACCAAACTGAAAATACTACTTTTAAAATAGGCCTATATAGTGATTTTAGTGCAGTGTTTTTACAGACTCAGGCATCAAAATAATATATGTTTTGTGTATATAGTGCTCCACATTGAATACCAATAGTGGAGTACGACCATATAGAAAGGTACGACGTTGAAGTTTGTATTTTCTATGCGCGTGACTTGATGTGTGATGCCGAGAAATGGTTTATAATGAATCAGTAACAGCATGAAGTAATCAAAATAGGCCTAATACACAACATAAGATGATTTTTTGTGAATATCAGTACTCTATATGACGTTGTTCTAAAATTCTAGGTGTTCCTGTGACAGAAGGTGTCTCCTCTACTATGCTATAATCAATAAAGCGTGAAAAATATTGAAAATACACGAATAAGCATGAAAATTATGGTTGAAGCGCATGCGCAGTAGTAGGCGACACCTTCTGTCACGGGGACACCTAAAATTTTAGAACAACGTAATACTCTTGAGCTCTTGTTTGCACAGCCTCGATAGCACTTTATTACAGAGCTTTGACTAAATAGCATAACTTTGTGTGCTTTCTGGTGCCAACGTTCAATCCCCAGTACAACTGGGCCCAAGAGGGGCCAACAGGGCCCCCCTCTTATTACTACCCAGCACTTTAATACATTGCTATCATACAGGTTTGGGAAAGGTTCAAGGATAGGAACAGACATTTTAGCTGATACTTTGGTATTTTTAATGCCAAACAATCTCATAATGTTTACAAAAGAGGACTTTTCAGTCTTTTGTGTATCTTGTCTTTTTTCTGTGTTCAGGGCCATTTCCAGGTTTACCACTTAGAGGTGCGTAAAGGTGGACCAGGGGTAAGCCTGATGGATTGCACCTTATGGTAACTTCAATGTCCAAATACTAGCTTAACGATAGATTAAATGGTTAATGAGATTTTTTGATTCTCTTTTCATCTTCATTACAGAAAATAATAAAATGTTATATTTACTTTACAATAGGGCCTATATTGTTTTATGTGAATGTAACGATGCATTTTAATAGCAATATGTAAGTAATTGACATTGTGCAGATGTAAAGATGAACGAAGACTAATTTACAATTGGTAAACAGTAAAGTTGATTTCGTATTTAAATAGCAGAATATTCGTCTAACAGGCCCTATCTCTATAATGCATTTTTTGTTCATTCGTTTTATTCTTTTGGGAGGTGGGGAGGGGTGAATTTCCCTCATAGAAACACCCCTTCGCCCAGTTGGTGGGCGAAAATACTAAACTTATATACATGGACTCCCAACTTGTTCTCGCCCCTAGGCCCCCTGATTCGACGGGTAGAATGAGCGCAGGACTTGATGTGACTACCAAGAAATGATATATTAAGAATCAATAATAGGGTAGAGTAACTGTACATCCATTCTAAAAATACTTGGAATGAACAATCTTACATTTACTATCATCTTAATTTCCCTCTAAACAGCTATTTAAAGACCACTTTTAGTGCCAGTCTTCAATTAGAGGGATTCTAATTATAGACCAAAGCTGTTAAAGACCACTAAAACAATGATAGCGAAAGTGGTCTTTAATTGGAGACCTGTACCTTAGGCCCTACATTTACTTACGTCAAAAGTCACTGCGCCTCAGAATAGCATGTTAGATAGATGACACATTACGTTATAAGTGTTGTATGACTGTATTTAGTATTATTATGAATGAATAAATGAAAATATTTATTACATATAGATATTGTATTGTGTTTATATTTTACCTACTTATCTTTTATATAATATTTCATTCATTACTGTATGTTTTATATACTTTGTAAAATTGTTAGTTGAAACTAATTTATGATTGTTAAAAAAAATATCTTGTTTTTACTGATATTCATTGTTTCTTTTTAATTTACTTTTAAATAATCGTTTTACATCTTAAGTATTATGATAATATTTTGTATTTTATATTTTATTTCCATTGTGTTATTGGTGTTTTACCCTGTTGGATGCAATAACGAAATAAAAAATAATTAAAGTGAATGAATGCTGATTGGTTACTTACCGATATCTTTGTGAAAATGTACAAGACCAACGAGAGGCAAGCCAGGTAAACTCGAATTCGTTGTCCTCCAAATCTTTTCTTCATATACTCTGGTAGTGTGTACACCTGGAAAAATATTACTGTAGTCATTCAAAAAATTGTCTTTCCTATCAACAATCATAAACAAATCTTAATATATTTTCTCCATGGAGCAAGAAAGTGATGTTGATACCCGAAATGCTTCGGTTTCAAACAGCATGTGCATTAATTTATATGAACTACAATTATTTATAAAATCTTCAATAACTCGCATTCAGTCACTTTAATTCAAGCAAACCCTCAAACTAAATCTGCTCCATGCGGCCAAACCAGATTGTGTGTAATTTGGGAAAAAGATGTAAAAAAGGGCGGTTACGCCCTTTCCCCCAGTTCTAATCAAAATTGTGTTTTCAAACGGAGCATGACTTTAAAAATCTGGATACAAAATTCTAAAAATTCTGGTCACCAATACAGTAATTATAAATTCTGATTATGGTCAATATATAAGTTAATTTTTATAAGAAGCATACAAGTTAAAACAAAAGAAATGTTGAAAAACTTACACCACTAGCAATGTAGACAGGTAAAAACACCCATCCTAGAAGCTGCAAAAGCATACATGCCTAATCAAGGGAGATATAAACCAATTATTAAACTGACATTCACTATTATTCTGTATTTATTAATCATGACCAGTATCAGTATAAACACAATATTGATTCATGGGCCTATTTCTATATATTATATTTTCTTTTTAATCCAGCTAATAGTTTTGTGATACTAATTGTGTTGACGGCCTTTTAAATCAAGTTATACTATTATAAAATTCGTAAATCTAATCGCAATGACCAGTCTTTACTCTTTATTTGAGTGTCCCTTTGGCTAAAATTGTACCGATGGCCCATTCAATAATAACCATAAATTTAAGTAAATGGCATCTTCAATTCAGTCTGGTAACTTTTCATCAGACCATTATAATAGGAACTCATTATGCCAGCTCTAAATCACAAGCAGTCTGTCAGCAATCAGAAATTTACTGGGAATAACTCGTAAAACTGGGAATAGCCAGTAATTATAAAACCTATTGATTTCTATTAAAAGAGGTTTTGTTACTATCTAGTAAGTGACCATTATTGCCATACCTAAGCTCTTACTCTTTGACTTTGTGTTCTGTTAACAAATTACCATCGTACCAAATGAACAAGAAATCAAGAAATCGGGTATATGGTATATTTGATGAATGCATTGTGAATAAGACAGAAGGACCGTAAAATAATTGAATTGCAACTAACAGAAACTTCAAATATAGCAACACCGATGCCTCCCGCAGCTCCCGATCCAGCTAAGCCCACAAAGTGCTCACTACCAATGTCGCTTGCAAAAAGTGATGCTCCAACCTGAAAACACATAAAATAAATAGAACTGGTTTATTTTATGCAATGTGTTGCAATGAATATGGTCGTAATTAGAATTAAATATACAAAGGCCAAACTTACCGGTAACCAAGTCATGTAGCGACCAGCCAGAAAATAACCACTGATTGTACCACGGTTTGAACGACACATTGACTGCAAAATATTTTAAAGATTGGACATTTTATGAAAAATTATTCTGTATATAGCCTTTATTTTCATTTTACCTAATAGCACAAGTATCACCGTAGTTCATAGTTCATAAACCAGCGTGCATTGTACAGCGTACACACTAGTCCGCTTGCCCAAGATTAACCAAATACCTAGCGTACACACAAGAAGCATACATGAACCTATTTCTGTAATTTTTATATTAAGTTAAGCATTTTAACAACTTAATTTCGCAATTCAGTTTCTCAACTGCAATGTATTATTTTATGTATATATGATTTTAATGTGAATATAGATACCAATATATAGTATCAGTGTTTTTTAACCACTTGCACATCCATTCTGAATTCAATAAAATCGTCTTACCATTTTAATTTTACTTGAACTTAGCACCCACAGACTGATGCTGATTTGCACTTTGGGCCATAGTATATAGTCCCAGGCTCCACTGGCAAAATTTACTCATCCAAATACGTTTTATTTTGGTTGGTAACATTGTAACCACAAGGCAAATCATGGCTAGCCAAATGTATAATTTAACATTTGAAAAGAAGCTTTTTTTTTAAACATCACACGTGTAGTTTCGGCTCCTACTATGTAATTTCATACCAAAGACGCAACCAATGGCGTAACTACCGCAGGTTCAGCAGGTTACCTAGGTCCCGAGCTTCAAGGCCCCCTATATGGGCCACGCCCCTTAGAAGAAATCTAATAAAGCAATGTTTTATTTTGACATCCATCCTCCCATCAGAATAATTTTGTTTCATTGACATTCATAGTTTTCAATATTTTTCTAGTAGTTAATGTATGATTTATTGTGTCAAGAAACTTTGCAATTGATCAAGCACGTGGCTATCATTTCGCAGTAATTAATGGATTCTAGCCAATCATGTATTACAAGGTAGATAGGGGTGGATTTCGCGGGGGCGCCCCTCCCCTTTGGCAAGTTAAAAAAAGATTGATGGCCTTAGAGGTCTAGAAAACAAAAATCCCCCACCATAGGGTAATATTGTCTCTCGATCGCACCCCCTCCCCCTCTTTGTTCGGACATTTTCTTTCTTTCTCTAGATCCGCCACTTGTGAAGGCCTGTAACAGTTGGGTGGTACTCCCTAAAAGCTTATTGTTAACATTTTATAAGGTTATTATCATTGAGATATGTAATAATTTGATCTTGGACTTGCTTTTCAACAATTTGAACTATGTTGCACAGGGCCTACCACTGAAATTGGTCTATGATTGTCAGGGCTTTGTTTGTTGCCTTTACCCTTGTGCATGAGGGTAGTCATTGAAACTTTCCCATTGTTTGGAACCATGCCATTAATTATAATGGAACATAGAGATTTTGCGATATAGCGTGATGCAAGTCGCAGTGGTCTAGTATCGAAATTATAAACATCAATGTTACAATTTTCAGAAAACCATACCAGATTCTTTTTAATATCGCCAGAAACAAGCCCCATAAAACTGGGGTGGGTGCAGGACTTGGCGGTATGGGGTGTGTGCCCCACCATGGTTTGGGCTGATCCAGCGTTTTAGCTCGGCTTCAATAGAATCGTCCACTCTATCGCAACAGTCGTGACAGTTGTGGTTCACAGACGAATCGGGGTGCCTTCCCGATTGCGCAGGGCTGATATAGCAATGCACCCTGATTTGTCTGCGTCTGCAACGCAATCGAAAAAGTTGAACCAGGTTCAATCTTCCCAACAACTGTCGGTGACTGTCGCTGATAGGGTGAGCAGTTCTATAGAAACCGAGCTTTACCCTGACTATCGCACATGTATGGTATATGGTATGGTATAAGATGAATGGGAATATGAATCATGCAGATCTGTAATCAAATCTAGGGGTGGGGTCCAGGGTCAACATTTTTCCCAAAAACGAAAGGGGATCCGGGGTCCTCCCCCGGAAAAATTTTGATTTCTAGATGGCGGAAATGACCTTTCTTGACTTTTGAGCTAGGTGTCTAATGACTTTGTTCTTCAAAATTAAAGGTTTCCCCCCTCTCTTGAAAACGGTCAGGTAAACTTTCTCATTCTTATTACAGTAAATAGGCCAGTTATATGTGTACACATACATTTTTAAAAAAATGAGTAGTTGCATACGTACCGTATTCTATTTTCAATGAATCGGGGGTTCTCCTCCGGGAAATTTTGATTCCCGGATAGCGGGAAATGAGCTTTTCATTTGTTTTAATTACTTTTAAGTTCTTCAAAATTTAAGGTTTTCCCCTCTTGAAAACGGTCAGGTAATTTTTTCCATTGTTATTACAGTAAATAGGCCTTATGTGTGTATACATACATAAAAATATAAAAATAAAAAAATGAGTAGTTGCATACGAATTATTTTTCCATGAATCGATCCCAAAAAAGGATGGGGAATCCGGGGGTTCTCCCCCGGAAAAATTTTGATTTCTAGAAGGCAGAAAATGATTTTTCCCGAATTCTGAGGTGTCTTTTAATTACTTTTAAGTTATTCAAAATTCAAGTTTCTAGATGGTGGGAAATGAGCTTTCCTCACTTCTGAAATGTCTTTTAAATGACTTTTCAAGTTCTTCAAATAAATTTTTATCATTTTTTATTTTATGTGTGTATACGTACATAAAAAAAATGAGTAGTTGCATGCGTATTCTTTTTTCCATGAATCGATAAATCCCAAAAAGAAATTTTGATTCCTAGATGGCAGGAAATTGGCTTTCCCCGACATTTGAAGTGTGTTTTAATGACTTTTATGTTCTTCAAAATTCTAATTTTCTTATTGTAATAAAAAAAAAATCAGCTCACGGGTCCTGAAAAGGTAGGTCTAGAATTGTTTTGTTGCCCAAGGGAGGGGTCAGGACCTATGACCCCCCTCCACCAGATCCGCCAATTTGAATTGCAAGAACATGTAATTCGGTCTGGGAGTTGCCTGAGTGGTCGGGGTCATGGGAAGAGAACGTAATATTTGCTTGTTCCGTCGCTGGAAGTCTATTTTAGAAGTGGGGCTGGGGGTGTGGTTTGCTGGGTTCTAGCTTCGGAAAGTTTTTTTCTTTTGTAGATGCTGAGAAATGCACTTACGTGCATTACGGGACTTCTATTGATAAATGAATACACACTGAATTCATAGTTTTCCCCCATTTTACCATGGACAATTAATAATTGCGGTGATGAAGATGATGATGATGTGATGATGATGATAAGAGGAGAAGGAGGCATCGTAGCTGTTGACGATAGGCTCCTGTGCAAAGTTAATTAACAGGTCCCTTTTTATATGAGTGCCAACTGAGTTCGTCGTCACATTTTAATGCACACAATCGGACAACAGTAATTTATATAATCAGTACATTCTCGACTGTCATGAAAATATCATATATCTAAAAAATTACGTTTTATGCATGCTCGGAAGCGGAAAGTTTAACCCTAAAAGTTTGATATATGTTTCATGTTGTTTGTTGAATGGTCTTTTAATTATTATAGGCCTATTCTAATTATGACCACAACATAAGGAAGAACACTTTGCCACTTACAAAGTTTAGACCCATATACATTTATATTTCCTTAGCCTAAATCATAAGGAAGTCTGCTCTATACCCAAATTTCAGGAAATTATATGTTTTATGCATGCACCGACGTGACGTGAGAATTTTTGTTTTATGTTGTTTCTTGAATGGTCTTCTTTAAAAATATTACAGTCTAATATGACCACAACATAAGGAAGTCCATTCCTTATAATACAGGGAATAATGCGGTTCTAAAATTAATCTTATGACCACAAATTTTAAGTTGTAACTTCAGGAAAAATAATGTATTTTTATTGTACAGCCACCAGCTGGGAAAGTAATTAATTATGCATAAATGTCTTCTGTGATTGGTTGATTGCCAACATTTCAATGCTTAGTGGGTGGACGGTCGGATATAATGTGTAACTCTCATAATAATTTCATATTTTGGAAAAATATTAAGAGTATTATGATCGCGTTCCATGAAAGGTTGCATCTACAGGGTGACCCTAAGCCAAAATTTCAAAATTGAATAAGTTGCGTTTTTCCGAATCACGACAGACTGAGTAGATTAGGCTTACCGTACTGGTTAAAATGTAAAAATTTAAGATTTTATTTTTAAATCACAGAAAATCACAAATCTATATTCAGTACATTCTCGACTGTCTTGGAACTGTGGACCTTATCAAATTTGGTTGGGTGCATTATACATACTCCTCGTAACACCCCACCTACTGTATATACGGGACTGGATAGGCCTACTTTACCGTTTACTTGCCAACTAATGCAGTATTATACGATTATTAGATATCTTCTCAATTTCTCAGTAATTTCTTTGTTTATTCTTTTTCCACTTCAAATGCTGTATGATTTGAAATTTACATACCATTCACGTCGTTGCTCTTCAGATTCCGTGTTCATTTTCAGTCTCTCAATGCTCGGTGGTCATTTTTGACTTTGTTTTTAGATGTGCTGTATCAAAGTGTTTTCGTAAGTTTTAAGCTCTAGCTCTACAATTAGATTTGTTTTTTGTCTTTTTTTTTTACAAATAGCATTCGTTAAAATAATGAAATAATTCATTAATCAAAAAGTAATAATTAAAATAATATGTTTTCGCTTTGGTGTAATTTTAGAATAACAAAATATAATAAAATTATATATGCCTTTTCGTAAGGTTATAAGAATCAATGTATAGCCTAACCTCCCTGTGATTGATTTTGTCCTAAACATTGTGACATGAATCATAATAATAATACTAATAATAATAAAAGAACTCGGTGTACCGTACGTTATCGCGCAGCCGATTTAGTTACAGTCCCTCGTTGATTAATACTTAGACAATGCAAACAGTTATTTTGTCTATATATTTTTGTCTTTGGATTAGGTATGTGACATTGCTTGACCACCAGGCACTGCTTTCATTTTATATTGGCGAACGGTGCGAAGACGGTCTGGATCCGCGCCTGCCTCTAGGTGCCCGGAAATTGCACTCTCATCATACCTTACAAC